AGTAGTAGTAGTATTAGTAGTTGTAGGAGTAGTAGTAGTAGTAGTAGTAGTAGTAGTAGTAGTAGTAGTAGTAGTAGTAGTAGTAGTAGTAGTAGTAGTAGTAGTAGTTGTAGTAGGAGTAGTAGTAGTAGTAGTAGTAGTAGTAGTAGTAGTAGTAGTAGTAGTAGTAGTAGTAGTAGTAGTAGTAGTAGTAGTAGTAGTAGTAGTGGTAGTAGTAGTAATAGTAATAGTAGCGTAGTAGTAGTAGTCGTCGCGGTAGTAGTCGTAGTCGTAGTCGTAGTCGTAGTAGTAGCAGTAGGAGTAGTAGTAGTAGTAGTAGTAGTAGTAGTAGTAGTAGTAGTAGTAGTAGTAGTAGTAGTGGTAGTAGTAGTAGTAGTACTAGTAGTAGTAGTCGTTAGTCGTAGCCGTAGTAGTAGTAGTAGTAAGTAGTAGTAGTAGTAGTAGCAGTAGTAGTAGTAGTAGTAGTAGTAGTAGTAGTGGTGGTGGTGGGTGGTGGTGGTGGTGGTGGTGGTGGTGGTGGTGGTGGTGGTGGTGGTGGTGGTGGTAGTAGTAGTAGTAGTAGTAGTAGTAGTAGTAGTAGTTTAGTAGGACATGACATACATGTGTGTGTTTGTTCCTCGGTAGCGTAATTTTCAAGGATAGCAGCCCTGCGCGCAGCAGGCAATATGCTGACACCGCCGCCATCCCTTTCAAAAACCATACAAGGTCCACGTGGGCCTCACCAACATGACTGAAGATTTTGCCCCAAAGTGTACACTGTATTCTCGTTGTGTTGTTTATGTTGACATGGATGGGGGGTGGGGGGGCGCATCGGGTTGGCCGCGTCTACTCCACATGTTGAAGCAGAGTGCGTTTTGTATTGTTTCTCGACAGGGATGGTGTCGGGGTGTCCTCATGGGGTCCTGTTTGTTCCTGGTTGTCTGTCGGTCGCCTCGGGGAGGGGGTGTACATCAATAGGGAACAGTAATACACCCCACCCCGGAGGGGAAGAAGGGAAATATGGAAGGCGAAGTGCTCCAAGTCACTCACGCCCTCAGGGCTGGTGAGATTCAGCGCCAGCGCTGGGACATCCGTGGTCGAAGACTGGCCTAATCCGGCATTGTCTTTGATCCCGCTTAATCCCGCGGATTCCAGCTTAATCGCTTAATTCCCTTGCTGAGTCCTGGGCTTTCTCTGGCCTCATCTGGCTGACACTGAGTCGCCTTGACCCTTTCTCACGAAGACCTCCCCGAAGTTGCCTCCTGAGAGCAGACTGGCCCGACTTCCGTCAGGTGCTGCCTGGCGACGGCGACAGCGCCACGCCTGAGTTCTCTGCGATGTTGTCGTCCACGGCCAGCTTCGAAGAGGAACAACGCCACAGACATAAACTTTTGGCGCTCCGCGCGGATTTGAGGGATCCGCGCTGGACACCCTCCTGCGGCGCCTGCGCGCCGCCCCCGGCGCGCTCCGCGCGCCAGGCAGGGGGGGCCCAGCGCAGAGAACAAACAATCCACGCGGAGCGCCAAAAGCTTATGTTTTTGACGTTTGTTTTTCTTGTAGGCCAGCTGCAGCAGCGCCGGCAGCGCCTCGACGGCGCTGTCGCGCAGCGCCTCGACAACGCCGTCGCGCCGCAGCTCCAGCGTTAAGTCGGGCATGTCCCTCTGCAGACAAATCGTCCAGAATAGTGAAAACACATAGTTTGGGGACGACCTGTTCGATTATTTGTGATATTTTTGCGCATTTGTTGGCTATTTTTGCTTTGTTTTCGAACATCCGCATGTACAGTGGGGGCGCGCATCAAGAAACGATCTGCTTTTCGTCAGGGTACCGTGGGTTTCTTCGCTCCGCGCGCTGCGCGGTGACTTCCTGCGGCCATCAAAGAGGCTGCTGCGTTCAGGGTGCTCCAGGTTTCCCCTTAGGTACACCTCGCGCGCGGATTTTCAGGGTTGGATTTCTTGCGAGGGTTTGTCGTCACCGCGTCCGCGTTCTATCGAGTGTGGACAGAACCCCCACCCTGGCACGTCGATGAGTGAATTGTCTGTGTTCGGTTCTCGAGAGGGCCGCCGCGGCCGTCATTTTCCAGGCTTGCGCCCGCCAGGTTTGGGCCCGAGGTCGTCTTCACGAACCTCGTTTTGCTAAATAGGGTTCTGTCAATCCCCGACAGGAGGAGGAGGAGGAGGAGGAGGAGGAGGAGGAGGAGGAGGAGCAGGAGGAGGAGGAGGAGGAGGAGGAGAAGGAGGAGGAGGAGGAGCAGGAGGAAGAGGAGGAGGAGGAGGAGGAGGAGGACCTGCCCGACCTAACTCCAGCGCCGAGGGCGACGCCCCGCGCGCGCGGCGCGCGCACGGCTCCTGCGCCTGCGGGTGGCCCCGGGGCCGCAGGCCCGCGGCGGCCCGCCGCCGCGCCGCGGCCTCGCGGAGCCCCTCGCGGAGCCCCGCACCCGCGCCCCGCGAGCGCGCGGCCCCGCGCGCGCGGCGGCCGCGGGCGAGCGCCTGGGGTCGGAGGGCGCCTCCTTTCTCGGCGGCGGCCAAGAGGTGGGTGATGACCAGGGGGGGATGTCATGGCGGGGGCCATGATATCTCCCCAGGTTTCATGGCGCCTCTTCTTGTTTCAAGACGTTCCCGGCCCCCCCCCCCGGGGCCCATGCCGCTGGCCATGATTTGCGCCCCCCCCTCTTGGACGCCCCCCTCTTGGACGCCCCCGACTGTCAGAGGAGGAAGAAGTACCTATACGGCTACCCTTCGCTCGTTTTCCCGTCTTCGGCCTCCTGGGCGGCACTCGTCGCCACCGCCCGATTCGCATCGAAATCCTGGTCAGAACGCGCCCCGGGAGAGGTCCACGGAGTACCGAGCGCGTTCCCTTTACTCGCAGAGTGCCTTTGTTTGCAGACGTCATACAAAAAACATGCTTGCCTCGATATGTGTGGTGGATCGTGCTCCCCCCCCTCCCCCTCCCCGCGGCGGATCCAGGCCACTTGCGAGCGGTCACTTTGCGAGTCGTGGAGCGCGCTTGTCTGTGTTCACCTGCACCGATCCTGGGCTCAGGCCGATCCTGATGGGCAAACTGCCCACCACCACTACCATAAAGGTCGGACGGTGGAGAAGTGCGGCTGGGGAGATCCTCCTCCTCCTCCTCCTCCTCCTCCTCCTCCTCCTCCTCCTCCTCCTCCTCCTCCTCCTCCTCCTCCTCCTCCTCCCTCTCCTACCTGCGGTGTTGTTGTTGGTGGTGGTGGTGGTGGAAAATGGGCCCATCAGATGCCTTGGGCCCAGGACGGGTGCAGGCGCCCGCAGCTGGCGCCCTCCCAGGGGGCGGCGGCAGGCCGCCGTGCGCCGCGCGGGCGCGGGCCAAGGCGCCGACGCCGACGACGACGAGGCCGACGACGCCGACGACGCCGACGACGCCGAAGACGACGCCGACGACGACGCCGACGCCGACGACGAGGAGTTCGACGCCGACGCCGACGACGACGCCGACGACGACGACGAGGACGACGCCGACAACGACGACGCCGACGACGACGACGAGGACGACGCCGAAGACGGCCACGGCGACGTCGGCAGGGCGCGGGCGGGCCGCAGCCGCCGGGCGAGTGGCGGCTCTGGGCGGGCGGCGGGCCCGCAGGGGCCGGCCGCGGCGCCGAGCCCGCGGGGGCGCCGGCGGAGGCCGGGGTTGAGCACGGCGGCGAGGTCCTGCCGTAGCTGCGGAGGTGGGAAGGGCGTGTGGCAGCGAGGGGGTGTGGTGCCAATCGTGGAAGTGGCGAGGCTGTCTGCGACGGATCATATCGCCAGGGCCCCCTGTACATGGAATTCACACCACACTCCCTTCTACCATACCCCTGTTCTACCTCCAGATTAGCAGGGAAGGGCAACCACAGGCGGCATGGGCACAGGCGGGCCTGAGATCCGGGCGCTGCGATCTACTTCCAAGGGAGGAAGAACCACCCAGACCCGACGATTGGCGTTTTTACTGGACGGCCCTGGGCGTTCGCTGGACAGCCCTGCCCTGTTTGATTTCTTCTTTGAACGCGTTTGCTAGACGACTTCGCGTGTCGGGGTGGTTATTATGGGGTAGATTTTTGACCTCTTTTTTTCTGGCCGGGCGTTTTCTCGCGGTCTCGGGCGCCGAGGCCATTGCAGCTCGATCTAGCTCGAGAGATGCCGCAGACAGATGGGGTCTCTAGGGCTCTCGTCGTGATTTTTCGCGAGGTTGCATTTTTTCGCAACTTAGGGGTAGTTTTTGGCAGTCTTTGGCGTCTGGGGGACATTGCCAGGCCCCGGGCCGTACAGTGTAGACGCATGTCAAGAAGCACCCTGCTTGCCTCCAGGGTGCCCTGGATTTCTTGGGTTCTGATGGTTTTGCGATGGAGAGCGCGACGTCCCCACACCCAGCATCAAGGGACGTCCTGGGGTCTCAGGGTTGGGTTTTTCCTCGTGGAAGGTTTCGTGTGGGCTGGCCTCCGCTGTAGCCCAGTCCCAGGGAATGGGGGCCCAGTCCTTCTGGGGTCCTCGCTGGTGAGGAAAAATGTCACGGCGTCGGAGTTCCGGGGGGTGGCCCGCGCGGTTGTCGGCTCGGCCCATTCCCCCCGTCACCACGGGAGGGGGCGGCCTCTGTAGCAAATCATGGGAGTCTGGTATACCCGTTCAAGTCTGTCTTTAGCGTCGACTAGCGTCGATTAGCGTCTGGGAGTGGATGAGATGGCGCCGATATAGCGTCGATTAGCGTCGAATTAGCGTCGACTAGCGTCGATTTAGCGTCGACTAGCGTCGGTTCGCAAGAGCTGACAAGATGGTAATTACGGGAGACTCCCAGGAGTTGCCACCGAAGGCGGCGCCGACCAACGTGCCGCTGTTTGCTCTTCTTGTCATCCACAGAGCCCCATGCAGGCGTACGCCTCCCTCGTCAGGAGGAGGTTCATCGTCATGCAGGCGCAGCGGCAGGAGGAGCGGGGGCCGGGCCTGGCATACAGGACGCGTTCCGCCCGATGAGCTCCGCACGCGCGCCTCGTGCAGCCTCGTCCCGCCTCACTAGCCTCGCTGCCCTGCTGCTTCTTGGGCAAGCTGTTGGGCCTCCTCCTCCTCCCGCTCCTCCTCCTCCTCCTGCTGGGCTTGGACAGGCCCAGGCGACAGGTGCGGCGCCTCCTCGAGGTCGGCAGAGGCGGCGCGCAGGGCATGCCAGGCTTGCCCTGCCGCTGCCGCTCCCCTTCTTGCGCCCCCCCCTACCCGGCCTCGGCATCCGAAGGCGCATCGCTGGCACGAGCGTGGCCTCTCGGAGGCCTCCGCGCGGATGTTCGGTGTGTCGGTGCTCGGCCGCCCCCAGGGCGCGTTCCGCTCTCCGCTCCTCCCGGCCGAAGGCCCCGCGGTGCACCCAGGGGGGAAGGCTTCCCACGAGGATCTGGGGGCCGATCTGTTTTCTTCCTCCTCCTCCTCCTCCTCCTTGGGGGCGCGCCATGGTTCTTTTGTGAGAGGGGCGCGGCTCCCGAGGAGCTGCAAGGCCATGCGGCCCGTGCGCGGAGGGATGTACAGAGAGAGGGGCGAAGAGCACGGGCCAGGAAGAGCTCCAGCTCAGCTTCGAAGCTATGCAGTCGCCCCCCCCCACCCTCAGGAGGGGAAAACATGATGGGCCTGTTTTTCACCACCACCACCATAAGTTGGAGGGGGGGAAGGAGGTGGAGGGTGAGGAGGAGGAAGAAGAAAAGGGGGAGGAGGACCCCCTTCCCCCAACAAACAACTTATGGTGGTGATGGTGGAAAACAACCCCATCAAAAAACACACGCAGACTCAATTCGCCGATCTCCCAGACAATATATGGGAAAACATGGGAAGTGGGGGGGAAGACAAGAAGCCCAGAAAATATGGGGAATGTGGGGAATCCTGTTATCTGTGTTTATTTGGTTGTGTGTCCCAGAGCCCCTTCACACTAAGCGTTGCCCAAGAGGCACAGGGGGCGGGCCTTCCAGAAGGCTCAGAAGGCGGCATGGTTTCGAGGAGCTTTCGGAGCCTCCTCCAAGCAGAGGCGGCTCCGAAGGCTGGCGGGCTCCTGAGAACCTTGAGATCCGACGCTACGGAAACAGAACATCGCGGAAGATCTCAACCGTAGCCCTAGACTGCTTTTTCTGCGGTCTTGCTCGAGCCGGATCGATGTGTGATCGCCCAGCGTGAAAGAAAAATGCAATGTCTCGGACGGGGCTGGGACGAGGACAGATCCGTTCCGGAGCGTTCTGGGACGCTCTCAGAGCGTTCCGGAACGCTCTATGGAGGCCGCGGCGTCCGAGACATACTCCAGAGCCGCCGGCTCTCAGAGATTCCCGATCTCACCACCCACCAAACCACCCCAACCCAACCCGAAGGCCTCAATTAGCCCTCCATTTCCAGTGTGGGGTGGTCCGGGAATATCGGAAAAAAAACATATGGAGCCCATACCCCGCCCAACCGGAAATTCGGATCTTCGGGTTGGGTTGGGGTGGGGTGGTCTGGTAGGTAGTCACGATCTGTCCTCGCCTATTTCGGTCTTCGTCCTGGCTTCGTAAGCGGGCGGGGGGGTGGCCGAGAGGGGGGGCGAAGAGCAGTGCCCTGCAGGGGGCCTTTGGGAGGGCCCCTTTTGGAGCCAGCGAGGGTCCACGAGAGACCCTACAGGGCTCCTTTGGGGCCATGTTCTTCACCCCTCATGTTATGGTGCTCCAACCTACCTTAGCTTTGATCGCCAGGAAGAATTTCGAGCGCCAGAAAAAAAGTACCGAAACTCGAGGGTTTTCACGTGTCGGGCCCCGGGAGACACTCGCCCGAAACTGCTTCGACACTGTTTCGACACTCTTTTGACACTTTCCCGGGTGCTCGAAATTATTTCTGGGATGTGGTTTTTATGCAGGATGGGAACAACAGATTTTTGGGGCCATGTTCTTCACCCCTCATGTAGGTCCCCACGCGTGCGGCCACGCGTGCTGCTCTCCACGCGTGCGGCCCAGCAGGCAGCCTCGTCTCGGAGGCGACGATGGGGCCGTGGGGCCGTGGCCGCCCGCGGGGGCGCCGGGTGCCGAGTTCTTCTGTTCATATCGTGGGTTGCGTCATTCGTCGGAAACTGGAACATATACATTACCAGTGGCGTTTTTTTTTTTTGTTTTTGTTTTTTGTTTTTTCGTGTGTGTGTTTTTTCCATCCCGCGACTTTTTGAGGGTCGGGGACGACGTCGGGATGGTGTGGTGTATATTCCCTCGTTTTCCAAGGGAAACAACGAACAATGTATACACCAGGATCCCGTATACACCAAAATCCGCGTTCATTTGCGAATTTCTGCGCATGGTCGGGAACAGCGTCGGTGTATAGAGCTCGTTCCCCTAATTCGGTTGTTGTTGCTGGACGTCGATGAGCCCTTTTGTCACTCAACGTGCAACTGTTCGGTTCGTTTCGAAGGCCTCACGTAGGTCACCCCCAATGGCCACCCGCCCGAGTGAGCAAAAGTGCAACGTCAGATCTCGGGGAAGCCACGCCGCCTTGTGAGAATACCCGCCTCTCTGAATTTCTCTCCCCTCGGCGCGCCACCGAGAGATTCCCAAAAATTCGAGGCGGCAGCTGCGCGCTGCCTCTCGGTGCACGAGCGGGGCGCTCGCGTGGGCCCTCCCGTCCTGATCAGAGGCTCGCTTGAGGCGTTTTTGTCTCGCGGGTCGCAGGAGGGAAAGGTACCGATACCGCTACCCTTCGGCCGTTTCCTCCTTTTTGGGTCTCCTGGTGGGCCCTCGTCTCCATCGCTGGATTCGCCTCGAAATCCTGGTCATAACGCACCGGGGGAGAGGTTTGGGGAGTAGCGGTATCCGTACCTTTTGATTTCCCAGTCCTGATCAGATGCTCGATTTGGGTGCTATTGTCCCGAAGAGCGTTTTGTGACGAAGCGGTCGCAGTGGTGCATCCATCGTTGGCACGGCAGTCGCAGTGGAGCATCATCTGGTGGCAGGGCCGTCGGTGTTGGGGCGGCAGCCACATGCGGTGGAGCTGCCCGCAGATGTCTCCCGAGACCCAAATACCTCCACAAAGGCCCACTAGGCCCGCAGAGTGCAGGGGGGTGCGTGAAGCAGAGAGAGAGAGGTAGGAGCAGGAGCAGACTGGCTGGGAGTCCGCGTTTTATATTCACTGACTGAGTCTTCTGCCTATAATTGCAGGTCGGTTGATGTGGTGTTCACGTTTTTTCTGGCGACCTGTTGATTCGCACTGTGGTATTTCCCGCTCTGCGTTGAGATCTGGTGGCCGGTAGTTGCGCTCCCCTCCTATGATTAAATTGCCCCCCCCCCACTCCTGAATTGATCTCTCGATTAATCGGTGGCAGCCTTGTTACTGCTAAAACACGGTATTGCTACTCGCGCCTGTTTCGGTGTATGCGTCGGTCAGCCCTCGTTCTTTTCACAGCCTGGTGGTTTATACCTGCTGCTGGCCCGTGCCTAGATGTCGGGCTTGGTTGACTACGAACCTGTTTGAAGCCCTTGTCGAAAGGTATGCAGCTTTGCAAGAGGCAAATGCAGCATTTTGAAACACTGTGCCTGGTTTTTGTCGGCGTCTCTCGCTCCACAATTCCCAAGGTTCTCCCGCTAGTTTTTGTGGCTACCCTCAACACCAGCACATCTGGTAGTAGCTATACATCTACGTGCGATGCCGATTGAACGTGTGGGGTGCAGAGACGTCGTGCACTTTGCACCAGTCGTCTCTACCTCGGTCTCCCGAGAATGCGTCGCGAGAGCATCAGAGAGAAAAAAAAGGATCTGCGGCATTCGCAGCAGCGAGAATTCCAGTTGCTTATGTACATGAATATGTCATGTTATATGGCATGATCTTATATATAAAGCTCATATTGCATTTATCATCGTATATATGTCCACTTGTTTTTAGTTTTGTTTATCAAATTGTGATTGATTTGAATTGTACTTCATCATGAAGTGTAATAGATATTTGTAAATCATATTATGTTTTAGTGTGTACTGTTATGTTAGACTGTATGTTCGTAAGTGTTATTCGATTATGTCATGTTATCTTGTGTTGTGCCATAGTAAGTAAATTATACGGTATTGCACCACTACACATGTTATTGTTTTGCACGATGCCATGTTTCATGTTTTGTTGTAGCATGCCTCATCTGGTGCACTATTGCAGTACATGGTACTATAGTATGTATGGTCTACCATATCAGATCCCAGTACTTTATCATACATGCAATTGTACCAGTTGTTATTCTAATACATGGAATTATACAGGCTCTATCATATTGCATTCTATGCTGCAGTTTAACACAGTACTATATCATGTCATAGTATATAATGCTGCTTCTTGTGTACCAAGATTTTTTAAACGCTATGTCGTATCATCCTGTCGTATGTGATATACTACCATATAATACTGCGTCCGTTCGTATTATATCATATTCCGACGTATTATATCGCATTGTATTACATGTATTGTATTTCATTTTCTCTCGCATCATGGTACACCACGCTTTCACATTTATTTATCATGACATTTTGATTGTATTGTATTATACCCCTGGGCACGAGGCCGGGGGGCCTGGGACCAGGCCCTTGGACAGCTCATGGGAGGACTGGCAGCCCGGACCGTGCCAAGATGGGTCTAGAGTCCGTCCAGACAGTTCAGTTGGATGTCCAAGACGCCCACAGAGCGCTCCAAGAGGCCCAAGGTGGACCTCAAGAAGGGTCTGGAGGCGCCCTAGATGCCCCTGGAACTTTACCAAACGCTCCACGAGAAGACGCCGGGAGTCCAAAATCCCTAGGGGACACATTTTCAGCAACCACGCTCTTGAGGTCTCCAGTGAGTCTACGATGGCGCCCGAGGAGCTCCAGGGAGGCTAAAATCGGTCCAGGAGCCCCTCAAGACGGCCCAGAACGAACCCAAGAGGGCTCCACTTACGGCCTGGGCGGCCTTTTGGAGGCCTGGAGCGTGCGTAGCGGGGTCCTGAGGCCGTCCAAAATACCCCAGGGACGTTCACCCCCATGAGGCCCCATATGGACCTCAAGTAGGCCAAAGGTGGCAATTCCAGACGGAACACTTATGGTTTCAGCAATCGCTCGTTCGGGCCCTCCACTGCGTTTACAATTGCGCACGAGGCGCTCCAGGGATCCCCACGACGGCCCACGGAACCCCCAAACGGCCAAAGACTACCCCAAAAGACCTTTCCACGGAGGAGGCCCATACGCTCAAGCATTGCATTTAAGCGTTGCTCCAGCAGGCGCTCACGCTCCATTTTGGCTCAAGCACTGCATTTATTTGTTCAAGTGCTCAACTCACTATTACACTTTCGTTTTTCATCATTAACTCACTCGAGCCGCCCTGTGATGTCGAAGGACGCTGTACGCAAAGCCGAAGGTTCTTCATTTTTCTACCTACTTTTTCCGACCGACGTGTATGATCAAAGAGAAAATCGGCACAGCCACGCACAACAGCCAGGACCGCACAGACACGGAGAGCAAGAACAAGCAGATGGTTGCATTGGGGCTCAAAGAGCC